AACGCTTTGCTCTAGCGTGTTGATAATAGGCCTTTGTCCAGAGCTCTCCACAAGGACACATTGAGTTGGGTCACCAAAATATTTTTAAAGCGCACAGAGACACCCTGAAAATGTTTCTGAAGGACTTGATATTCATCAGTGGACATGGAGAGCCTATAGCTCTTGACAGACGTATATGGAGAGCAGTCACAGCGGACAGTAAGACACAATAACATGAAATTTCACGAATTAGAAATATTGAGGACAACAGAGAAGCACGCAAGCTGCGCACATTCACGAGTTGAAATGAAGCTTTTAATTTTGATATGCTTGAAATGTGGCCAACTCCTTTCTGCCCCAGCAGAAACTACACGTCATCGTAATTTTTTTCTTTTATTAAATGTTCTCTGCAGATGCCCTGGTCATTGTCAGACATTGACGTACAAACGACAAGTATTACTATAATTATTGGGCCGACTGCAGACAGCCTGATGAATGTAAACAAACAACGACAAAAACTCTTGAAACATTTAATTTTTTTATCTTTTCGGGGGGAGGGTAAGATAAATGAAACCCAGTTTCAATCATTCCAGAAAGTTTATGTGCACAGGCTTTCAACAACATAAACAAGAAGAAATTGGGTAGATTCTATTTAGTGTACAAAACATTAAAAATGCGAAACTGTGGTCGACGGCAAGACAGACATGCATTCATTTAAATTCGGAGTTTAGTTTTTGTAACATCAACAATAATAATACTTGTTTGCCAATTTGCTCAAGCCCTTAGAGTGACGCCAATATCCATACAAATTAAAGTTCTCACTCTGCTCTTTGATTTGAGTAATTTTCCCATTTATTATGGTAAATAAGTCCTTTTATATTGATAAGAACTAAATATAATTTAGTTTTGTTGTATATTTTTAAATATCAGGTTTTGTGTTCCATTTGCTTGTGCCACGAGCAGAAACAACTGGCCAATCTGCTACTTTCGCTTTCACACTCCTTGTTTGTTTGGTTTGTGACTAGGAACTTGGGAAGTGGAAATATTTGATAGATAGCTCAAACAACTATAATGACTGAGCCTGCATTCTCGAATTGTTCGAGCTAATGGAGGAAACGCTCCATAGCCTTGTTTCGCTATGCGTTTCCAAATATGGCAAAGAAGTGTGTGTTGTGTACGACGACGGAGAAGGAGACAACGCTGTTGGTTTGAAAGTAAACGCTGAAAATGGTGACAAAACAATAACATGTCAAGTCCTCCAAGGAGCTGGAGTTCTTGGAGGCAGTGGGCAAGTTAACACTTCTAACAAGACACACAAGACAAGTCTCACATATTCTGAGTTTTGGTCAATTGTTGAACAGGTAAAAAATTAGACATTCATATTTTGGCATCCACTTGCTGACATTTTATTAAGATTTGGCGAATAGGCTTGGCTTAGCCTACATTGCAATGGTCAATGGTAAAATTTGACAATATCCACACTTCTGGGATTAAGTCTTCGGGAGAAGTGGTAACGGCCTAACTCCATAGACATTTTACACTAAATCGAAAACAAAAACGAAAGTCGAGTGTAAAAAAGCTGACTGGGTTGCTGAGGATCCGAACCCATTTTAGACTATTTTTCGGCACGATGATAACATTTTTTGTGTGTTGAGAACAATTTTGGCTCTAAAAACTGTCGCAAACTATTATTTTTGCACCTCCCTTTTTTTTAATGCGACTTCCGTTTTTGTTTCTGATTCTGTAGCCTACATGATTGTAAAAATTTCTGTTAGGCCAGGACTACTTCTCCCGGATAAGGGCTTTCCTGATCCTACTTCTACTCCTATTAATATGAATTTTGCAAATGTGAATAAAATATGCAGAATTGAAAGATTGTCTTTTTAAAGTAAAGAATTCAACATGTTCCTAGAAGCTCATTGTATTGTTTTTGTTGGGGTTTTTTAAAATCTAGTGATCGCTGTGCTTCTCAAAATACTCATTCTTGCTTACCTGGGGTCAGAATGGTGACAAAAATCTGGGAATGGAGCATGAAATCGCCCACGTCAGTCGGCAAGGCACCGGATTATGATGAAGATGCCATTAATTCAGAATGAAGTCTGAACATGCATATACTTCTACATCCAATTTAAAAATCTTCACCTGTTTGTTGTCCTAAAGCAACCTTTAACTTTTTTACCCATAGTTCCGAACCTTCCAAAATATTCACAATCAAACATGGATAAAAAAGAACTGTCATATATATAATTCAACTTTGTTTTTTCCCTAGTTCGCAGATACTCTGTCACATTTGCCCCAGAGGAATCAAGTGATCGCTGTCCTTCTCAAAAATGACATCAACTTGCCTGCCGTCCTTACTGGGTAACAAAAACATTATACTGTCTTTGTGTCTTTGTCTTTGTGTCTTTGTCTTTGTGACTGCTCTATGTTTTTTGTATGTCTTGATAAACTTTATTTGGTGATAATCTATTATCTATTTGTGGTGGCCGAATTTTGCTATTCAAAAGGCTTTTTAATGGCTGCATCGATCGACATGCGGTTCTCGCCAAAAGATTCTTTAAAATATTCTCCAGATCATGACGCCCTTGGTTTTTTCAGTTTTTGAGACAGTTTTGCTGCAAAAAGCTAAATTTCTTTATTTCGTCGATCGCTTTTGTAGGCCGACGCTTTTGTCTCTGTAATTTTAGAAAATCCAGAGTGATATTTCGCGAGGCGCATTTTGTTTTGAGAGTATAGATCTAGACCTTCTAATTTTTTGCCTCTCTGAAGATTTATTGCTCCATTCCAGTAGAGTGTAAATATAGTAGGCCAATGACTTTTAGTTGATATTAAAGCACCGATCATTCCTTTCATCGAAAGGAGGCACAGCTAGTAAAGTCAATATGTAGTTGTTTTTGTCTTTCTTTTCATTGACAATGACAGGATTATAATGTCTTTGCTAACATGGATTGGAAACTTAATTGGAGCTATTTCTTTGCACATTCATCCACATAAAGGTCAAGTTAAGCTCAAATTATAATTTATTTGTTTTTATTATTTTTTCTCATACTTAAATGAAAGCATACACTTTAAAACAGCTGTGATGGAAATTTTAGACAGTCCATAGTCAGGCTTTTAACGGTTTTTTTCTAAGGATTGTCAACCTTTTTTCCCACTCCCACTGTGTTGTCTAGCTATCTAGTATTCACAAAATTGCCACTGGTCGGAACTTCAACTTTGAAAATCATTGTACTTAATTGTCAAAATGTGTTCCTCATAATTGACTTGAAGGATTGTTTATTTAGAGTTCTGAAAGGGATAATAGTCAGTGCATATGAACATTAGTCAGATAGAATGGTTCAGGTGTACCACCACTTTCAATCATTAGACAACTAACTTTTTGTTTAGTTTTTTTGTAAGAGTTACAATTAGCTCATCTAAGTGTTGGAGATTAGAGGGGTTACAAGAAACAAACACAAAAAAGAAGAAGGGTAGAGATAAGATATTTGATCGGAAAGAAGGAGCAAACCACATCGGAGCACCCACCACCCATCTAAGTGAAATAGCATCTGTCTCTGATAGGACTGAGTCTAGTGGATGAAGAACTGTCAGAATTCTAACTCAATAAACAACCCAAACATTAGAATGTCCCATAAGAGATTAAAACAAAAGTCTTCCGTGTACATCATAGTCCAGCATGATTTCAAATTAGCTTTTAGTGCGCTCCTGTCCCCGTGGTTTTATGCACCCCGCGTAATTTAGCAAAATTTGATCATTTTTTGCATAATTTCTGTAAATTTTTCTTTATCATTTTTTGTTAAAATTAATAGAATCGCATAATTTCACATTTTTCGGCTCATTTTGCATAATTTAAGATTTTTTCTTGCATAAAACGACGGGGACAGGTGCGCTCCTAGTAGTCAGAATCTTTTGTGGTTTCTTTCAGGATTCTGCTGAGTGGGAATTCGTTTTATCCCCTGAGTCTGGACGGTTCAAGGTACACTGCATCTGCTCTGAGCAAAGTAGGGGTTACGTGTATCATAAGCCACAAAGAATTTGTTGGGGTAAGTACTTACTGTGTCATTGCTGTTCCTGAAAAAGTTAGTGCAGTTCAGCAGGCATATAATGAAAATGCACATGTTGAACAGATTTTCAGGTCCTGAATGTTTTCCTATATTATACAGGATGTGTTTCCTTTGCTTTTAAAACATGTTTGTAGGGACATTCGAACATAACCAAAAGATTTTCACACCCGGCAGGTTTCGCTATGTGTGTTTTCTACTGTATCTCCGATGCTTTTCACTTACTCTTAGAGCACAGTTAAACAATTACTTCTTATTGCAAAAATAATAGTGCCTTGATTGTCACACACCTCATTAATCAAATTGCTTGCTGTTAAAATATACTCAACTTTTAAAAAACATCTTTATGAGGTTTAGTTCTATAAAGAGCAAAGTTTTGTCGTACATTTATTCATTATTCTGATACTTATTGTCAACAATTCCAAATCACAGAAACCCATTTATAAAGCAGGTGGTTAGGGATGTCACTTGTAGGTCCTACTTCTTTCCTTCCTCCCTGTTATTTCTGTCTGTCTGTCTTCCTTTTTTCCCCCTTGTACTAAATGACCTAAAAGATTTGAACTAGAATTTTTCACGTTGTGGTGAAATTCTTACTGAATCAAGATTTATCCCAGCTTCTGAAAGTTTTAATTTGTGTCTTGTGAGGCACCCAAACAAATCAGATAAAAGCTATGTTGTAACATTAAGAGGGACTATTATTGCGTTGATAAATTTTTTCAGTCAGCTAGACCTACTCTAAAACTTTTAGTTCGCTTTCAACTCAAAATATGAATGTGTGTTGCTGCACCCGTACCTAAATGTCTCAACTTATCCCAGGATTTGACAGAACTTTTGGATCAGTCAGAATGGACATGGGTTTCGTCTCAACTCAGCGCTTTCACCCTTGGAGATCTGCTTTTAATCCAACTGGACAATGTTGGTGCTAAAGCTGACCGAGTCTGGCCACACCTGGCATACTGCATCAGTACCTCTGGGACCACCAGCTCACCGAAAGTGGTGCGGGTGCCTCACAGTTGCATTGTGCCTAACATTGTTCATCTCGGGTCAGTTATAGTATTTTTCAAGAATTGACTACCAGCTTGTATAGCTTAAGGTGTGTGCTATGGCAACACGCACGCGCACAGATACATGCACACTCTTCTCTCTCTCTCTCTCTCTCTCTCTTTCTCTCTCTCTCTCTCTCTCTCTCTCTCTCTTTCTCTGTGGTAAAACTGATAGAAACATTTAATCAAACCACAACTGTGCTTAGTTTCTGCTCTTTTTGTACAAATGTTTTGATACACACATTGTATAGCTAGTCTACTGCATATATTTGGAAAATTTCTGCATTCATTAATAGAGGAAATCTTGATGCATTTTGATTGATTTATCCCATCTCTCATTGTCATAACTGTTTTTCAATTTGAGTTTCAAGTTCAAAATCTAATTTTCTGCTCGCTCGCTCTCTCTCTCTCTCTCTCTCTCTCTCTCTCTCTCTCTCTCTCTCTCTCTCTCTCTCTCTCTCTCTCACTCTCTCTCTCTCCCTCCCACATGCTCTCTCTTATAAATAAATGTGAATACAATAAACCCCAGTGAAATCCTTGACCTCGGACCCAAGGACAGAGTCCTGCTGACAGCACCACTCACCTTTGACCCCAGCCTGGTGGACATCTTCTGCACTTTGATCCGTGGGGCTTGCCTGGTCATCGTGCCTCGAGAGGTCAAACAGAGGCCTGACCGTCTGCTTGATGTTTTACACACTAGACAGAGAGTCACATGCATGCAGGTTTGGGAACTTTTCTCCACTATTGAAGGGACTGGAGCTAAAAGTTCAGGTCCAGTGACGGCTATTTTGGTTATGACATTTTTTTTTTAAAGTGGAGATCCAAAACTGTTGATCAAGTAGGAAGGGGGGCGGGGGTGCTACTGAAGATCTCTTTACAATGTGAGGAAGATTATTGTTTGAAATTCCCCACGAAATATCATGGAATTTGGAAATTTGCTCCTTTTATGTCACTCATTACTGTGAAAATTCTGTTCTTTGCTTTCCCCAAATCTGTAAGCTAATATAGTGACAATCAGTCAAAGACATCTTTAAAAAGAATAACAAAAGTTATTGCTGACGAAAGTCAAGAAGTTTTCCCTTGAAAATGTTGTAAAGTTCTTACCCTTTATTGAAACACTTTCATGATCCAGTGACATTATGATAGCTTACTAATTCACAGTCTTTTGTTTGTCCCTCACTTTTTTTCTTTTCTATTTTAGGCAACTCCTTCGCTCATGCGAAGATTTTCATCTGAAAAATTGCGGTCTACCATCCTAGGCCCACAGACCTGGCTACGTGTGCTTGCTCTGGGCGGAGAACAGTTTCCTTCCGGAGCGGAGCTGAAAAGATGGCTGCACCCAGACAACCAAAGGACAAAGTTTTTGAATCTTTACGGGATCACTGAAGTCTCCTGCTGGGCTTCTTGTCACTCGCTGGAAGTGGAGAAATATTTGTAAGTTGCAGTGGGTCTTCTTTGTTATTTTTCTGCTTTGTAGTTTAGAAACATTGATGTGCATGTAACCAAAGATAGTACATAACAAGATGGGCCACTCAGCCAAAAAAGTGTACGCAGGAAGTTCGCTCTTTGCTTCAGATGGCGCTGCAGTCTGTTTTGAAGCTCTCTTTCGTTTTTCCAGAAGAAGAATAGGAATAGCACCTCCTTGC